AAATTACTAACTAAGGTTAATGAGCATTGAGGGGCAATGGAGTTGAAGAATTTTTCTGTTGGAAAGATAGAAAACGGAGTCAAGCAAAGATAGTCTTTAGAGATGCATCTCTGGAACAGAGCAAAAGAAGATAGACAGTTTCACCTCTCATGGAATTGCTTTAAGCTCGATCCCCAATGGGCATTAGGGTGAGAAGCAGTAGCCAGTTGCCAAACTATTCATCTAGTCCCAAGTCTACTGCTGTAACCATTAGATAGCAAAAGAACTGTCACACATCTAAGAAACTTCATATATGGAGTTCCTTGCAGATGCCTAGCATCATAAAAACAGGTGGACACCCAGTTCTTGGTACAACCTGAGCCATATCTATTTGTAATACTTTGCAAGCCAACTGTATTTGGGGAATTAGTACTCTATTATGGAGCTAAAATCTGGCCAAGGAGAGTCCTTTCTTCATAAGTAGGCAAGTTTGTTTTTTAACCCATCCCTTTCCCAGATTCCAACCAGCACCATGAAGGCTATTTCAGAAATCTTGAGTTGAAAAAGAGGGCCACAATGGGAGCTTGAGGGTGGTGTTCAAAGGGACAGGAATCTGGTAGAAGATGTAGAAAGAGAAGCTGGAGAAGGGAATGGCAAGCCAGGAGGAAGTAACATCTTGGAAACAAAGTTTGGAGAACCAGGTGAGAGGGAAATGGTTAAGAGTCTACATGGTACAGACAGGTGGAGACAAGAGGATGATGTAAATGTGCCTGTGCCATAACACGGAGGTCATGGGTGGCCTTTGCCAGAGCAGTTTAAATAGATAAGACAGAAAGCAGATTGTTGTGTGTCAAGTGATGGCTGAGGAATGAGAAAAAGGGAACTGTTCGTAGGCCATTCTGTTCAAAGGCCTATAGGGAGAACCTGGTTTATATGCTTAAACGATGGAAATTCTAGGAATAAAACAAGTCCAGCAATGCTCTAAGAGATGAGATCCAGAAGACAGGTGTAAGGCTCATCCTGGAATGAAAGGAGGAATCCTTTGAGACAGGGGAGGGAGGCACAGAAAAGCTTGTGGGGTGTAGGTAGGAATTTTAAGAAAACCCATGTCAATGACCCTTATAATTTTATTGTGAAATTGAAAGTAATATATAGTATGCTAAGAAGATGCATAAGACGCTAACTAAGAACATGTGATGGAATTGCTAATTGGTATTGAGGGGCAGCTGAGACTGGAGACCAGAAATCAGCAGTGACACTCGTCAGCACATTTGATTGATTTCCTGTAAGTCATACTCACTAGCTTGGGTTCAAGAGTGAAAGAAGCAGATGGTTTGGTTAATTCTTAGTCAAGGTGTTAACAGGCAGATGCAGCCAAAGGACAATTTGGCAAAGTAATTGCAGATGGCATGGCGGTGGGCACAAATGAAGAGATGGTGTATCACTGTGACAGACAGACTATTCATCGTTGAGAACTCAGAACTGTGGCTGAATGGAAAATGAACCCTTTTTGTGTGGTTGTGTTTCCATTTATCGTCTTGCTGTATTTACACAGGTTAGATCAGCTGCTGGAAAAAGCTCTATGGCTAGCCAACATTTCAGAACCACCCCTTTTCCATGAGTGCCCGATTAGCTAAGCTGGGTGTATCAGACAGGATGGGTGAAATTCTTGTTCATGAAAAATCCCCCGAGGTCAGGTGACCCTCTGGGGAGCCTGCCTTCACTCAGGGATGGAAGTTGCTTCCATCTTAGCTCTCTGTCATTTCAACACATGGCCTCTAAAGGGGCAGAAAGGATGAACCAGGCACACTGACTATTAATGATGCAAATGAGAAGTGATATGACAGTCAGTCCACATTCTCGTGAGCTCAAAGTCATCCAAGACCCCAATCGAACCGCAGAGAACGCTGGGAAAGGAAGGAGAGCGTGTGAACATTCAGGGAGCATCAATCACACTCTTAACCTGGATCAACTGCCACGTAGCCCAAGACCTGCACTGAGTTGCTGGGAACTTGACTCTAGTGATGAGGAGGGAAGGACTGGGAAGTGGGAAGTGTAACGTCACTTGGGGATGACTGTCCACATGGCGCCAGAGCACACAGTTGAAAAGTAAACGTATAAGCTAAACTGTAATTCTATGATCGGGTATAGTGTAGGACAACAAAGGCAGAGAGGAGGAGGAAGAGGAGAAGAGATGAAGAAAGATAAGGAGAAGGAGTAGTGGGAGACAGAGGGAAAGAAGAAGAGAAGCAACAAAAGCAACAAGGTCATTTGATGAAACTGGAATGTTGGTGTAATCATTTCCCCCCAAAATTTGGCCCAACTGGAGTCTGCTCACGGGAAATAAAACATAAATGAAAGTAAGGACAGCGGGAACTCGCCTGACCTGCCAGCCACATGGAATTTGCAGGGAGAAATGCCGCAAACCAAGCTGCCCCCTCTGAGTGGCCCTGGGTCTCCTCTGCCTTCCTCTCGTTCTTGCCCTAACTCCCCGTTTCAAACCACTGGATATTTAGAAACTGTTTTCAAGACCAAGAGATGGGAACAGGCCTCTTCCACCCACCACCGGCGCCGGTCTTGCGGGGAGCGTGCTATTTCTTTTTAATTTGCTCACTCAGTCCTGAATAACTTTTCAGAGGGCTCCAGACACCGCAGCGTGACAGCTTAACCAAGGCGCATCCCATGCGATGGAATTGCTCTACAAGCAACCTTGCCAAAGGCCCTTTTCGATGCACAAAGCTGGCTCTATCTTTGTATATTGAGGGAGCTAAATCAATGTTAAACGCTTGGCTCTTTTCACAGGACAATGACCAGGACCTAAGCTGCGTCCTTCCTTTTTGATTGACACTTGAAACGCAGCACGGGAATCAGCCAGAGGCGCTGCTACAAGCCGAACCCTCTGCTGGGATAACCACTGGTGACATCTGCAGAAAGGCCGACAAAAGGCAGTTGAAAGCTGTGTTTGTTGCCGTCCCCCCTCAGATCTCCTCGCTTTCATGGAGCTCCTTGCTTGCTTTAATATTATGATTCAGCACCTGGCTTTTTTGAACCTTGCTTTAAACTTCAAAAGGCGAGGTGGTATTAACAAACATGAAACGAAAAAGTGGCGGTAGTTTGATTTACTGTTGTCGTCTTATCAAGGGTTTTTTTGTCACCAGCTGCCACTTTCTGTCATCTTTGGAACCATTATCATTTCTCTAAAATCTAAAAGACTCCACTTAATAACAGCTTTGAATACAGGCAGGATCAGTAGCATACACAGTTCTGGGGATGACAGGACCATCAAATGCAAAGAAAGATGTTGCCAAAAAAAATATATTAATAATAAAAACCCCCCAAAAAACAAAAACCCAAACCACACAAATAAGAGCTGTAGTACTTTCTAGTGACCTTGATTTCAGAATTAAACAAGTCCAAGTCCAATCCGGTGCCATTGTTACCTTGGAATGCCCTGGAGAGTTTCCTTGAGAAGTTCCTGGTTGTGAGGGCTAGTGGGGAGTTAAACCTCAGGCCACAACAAGGCTCCCAGAGTCCAGGTAGGAGGGGAAGCTCTGCTCTCATGAAAAGGGCTGGAGTGTCCTCAGCCAGCACAGCTGCTCGGCTAATTAAGGGCTCATTGTCACCGACTTACTAATACTCTTGAGCAGCCACTTGATGCTGACACAGTTCAACCCTGCAAAGTCTCACCAAGGCAGAGGTCACTCCATGCTCTACTTTTTCCTAAGGCCTGGCAGCTCTGAGCTTCCCGAGCTAAGCCCTCCTGCTCCCCTCGCACCCCCGCCCAGCGTGGAGGTTAAAGCTGGGTCCATCACAGTAAGAGTAAGCCCACTGATGAATTCTGCTGTCTGCTCGGGAGACATGCAATCGGCCAGAGCCACAAGGGACCCTAAGATCACCCAGCCTGGTGGCTTTGATTCTCTCCCGAAGACCTTTGTAAAAACATTCACGCCTCACTCAGCTCCTTCCTACATCATATGAATCCAAAATGCCGAGGGTGGGCCACGGACACCTGTATTTTTAAAAGTTCTCTGGGTGATTTTGATTTCCAAAGAGGGTTGAGAATCAACCCTTACAGATGAAGCTTCTGAGAATCAGAGGAGTTAGGTCACTTGTCTAAGGCTGCACAGCAAGTACGTGGCAGACCCACGGAGGGGGCTGAGCAATGGCTTCCAAAGATGTAAGTCACAGTCATGCAAATGCCTGTTGTGGCCTCGCTTTCCTTCTTCCCATCTGTTCCCCATCCTAGGTCAGCACAACTCATCAACTTTCTGCACCCTTTCATGATGGGCTTCCTCTCTCCTCCTTCCTCATCCCCTCAAGGCCGCGAGATAGTAAGCATGGAGGAAATAACTGCCAATCCCTGACCACTAGTCGCAGTGGTTCTCAACCTTCTGGCCTTTTAAATACAGTTCCTCATGTTGTGACCCAACCATAAAATTATTTTTGTTGCTACTTCATCACTGTAATTTTGCTACTGTTATGAATTGTAATGTAACTATCTGATATGCAGGATGGTCTTAGGCGACCCCTGTGAAAGGGTTATTTGACCGCCAAAGGGGTCACGACCCACAGGTTGAGAATCGCTGCTGACTAGTGGAAGTAAAATACATGAAAAAGGTGAAGCGGTTCATTTAGATGTTATCAAGTGCAAAACACTATTTGTGGCTTGATCTGATATGCCCTCTCCTTGAAAGCAGTCAAATATATGTGACCATCTGTTTCTCTTTTATGACCTAGTAGCACAAACTTGCTATTTTATTACGTAGCTTTGTCAGGTGTGGCATCCACAATCCTACCTGTTACAGCTCTTTTTACAAAGGTCATTACAACGAATTAGCCACATGGACGAATACCAAGTAGCCTGGAGTTGCAACCCTGGACCTTCTTTCTGTTCTTCAAATGCATCAAGTTGGTTCCTCTCCCAAGGCCTTTTCATTTGCTGTTCCCTCTCTCTTAAATGCTCTTCCCTCAACTCCTTCTTATCTTTCAGATCTTACCCCAGATGCTACCTCTGCAAGAAGTCTTTCTGGACCGACCACTTAATCTAGATTAGACCTCCCCAACTGCAGTCCCGAGTGGTCTACTCAGCCGAAGGGGATGGCTCCTGGAAACCTCACAGATCTTCCAAATAGGAAGGGGGAGGGGGTAAGTCTGAAAATGAGGCATCTCTGGAGCTGTGAGTCTGTTTCTGAAATATTAAGACTATGACAACTCTATCAAACAAGAAAATAAACCCCCCAAAAAATCATGAGATCTCTGGCTTCACAGAGCAGGCTTTTTTTATGGCAAATAGTCTTGCCTCCATGCCAACTCTAACCAAGCATTAGCGGTGGCCTGAAAAGCTAGATCAAGACAGACTCTGGGCTCAGTCATCAAGCTATCATGAATGATTAGCGAAGTCAGCCATGCATAGGGGTACATTTTTATATGTCATTTCAAGACCTAATCAAATGGTTCAAACAAGTTTTGACAATGTTCTCCTTCAGATCATCCATGAGTTTATAACCTAGTTTTGTCACTCACTACACATGAGAGCTTGGACAAATTACTTAGATTTAGTTTTCTTATCTGTAAAATGGGTATAACACCTCATTCTGTATTTTGAGATTTGAATGACACAATAAATGTAAGGCCATCAGCACAATGCATGCCATGTAGGAGATGCTTAATAAAACCGAAGCTCTTATTTATCATTATGGCGGGAACAAATCTTGAGTCTCTATGGATAGGCAATGCAAAAAACTAGGGTCGTTCTCTAAGGAATGAGACCAACGAATTTTGAGCCAAAAATATATTTATACCTTTTACTCAACTATAGTCCAACAATTAAAAGAGGAAGAAAGGAAGGAAGGGAAGAAAGAAGGTGGGAATGAGGCAGGAAGGAAAACAGGAGTGAGGGAGAAAGTGGGAGAAGAAAGATTCAACAGCGAAATAGAAGGTTTACAGAGATAGCATGGAGTTAAGTGAGGGACACTAGGACTGGCAAAAGGTATCAAATTCTGAAGCATAAAAGGGTATATATGTATATATATGTGTATATATATATGTATATATGTATATATATGTATGTGTATATATGTATGTGTATATATGTGTGTGTATGTGTATATGTATGTGTGTGTGTGTGTGTGTGTGTGTGTGTATATATATATATATATATATATATATATATATATAAATAACCATAGTGCCAGTATTGAAGTCAATAACAAAATTGTTCTATTTTGGATAGATTATTCTTGCCTCCCTCTTCCTTCACCAATAAGCCACATTTCATATTTGTTCCCCCTTGTTAATATAGTCCCTTATCTCCATGCTTCGCATTGTTAAAGGGACAACACAGAAGTGAAATTCTGTTTACAATACAGTAAGACCTTATGACTCTGAAGATACAGACAACATTTCCTGCTCTACCATACTGGCCAGGTGTCCTTGGACAAAGTTACATAACCATTCTGAGATCCTTTTCTTTTTTTGACAAGGGAATCAAGGGAATAAGGAATCTCACATACTAACTTTACAGCAGCAGTCAACAACCTTTTGGACCACCGGTTAGCGACTGCTGCTTTAAAGGGTTATTTTGAGAATGCAAGGAGATAATATGCATGAAACACCTTTGTATATTTGATGTACATGTGAAGGGATGATGATGTGTTCAATCTTTGCATAGATGGATCCACCTTCCTGATGTTATTTGATGGAAGCATATTCTCCATTGTCTCAATGTCCCCCGTCCCCACAGTCCTCTAAAAATCTGTCCCAATTCTTCCTCTTTAGTGATTGGGATTCTAACTGAAATTAGAGGTTCATTCTTTTGGATAACCAAATTACCATCCTCAGGCATCCTTTTAAAGAAGTCTATAGTCCTAATTACTTATAGAAAATTAGGCTAGACATTGGGTTTCTAGAGAAACCAGAATGAAGAGGCCGGGATGCAGGGGTGATCTATTTGATGGGGAGGAAAAGAGAGTGACTTTAAGTTTAGCACAGCAATTAGCAGACAGACAGACCAAGGCTCTAGTCCTGGCTCCACCATGTACTTACTAGCTGTGTAACCTTGGGCAAGTGGCCTGATCTCTGCTGGCTTGTGTTTCCTCGTCTATTTATCATTCATAAGTATCACTGAGTGTCTACTCCATGTCAGTCCCTGTTCTAGGTAATAAGACAGTCATAGTCCTTGTCCTCATGATGCTTATGCTTTACCAGGGATGATAGAATGAAAACAGAAAAATAGTAGAATGACCACTAAGAAAAAGCGGTGAAAGCTACCATAAAAATAACTAAGTAGGATAAAGAGAGAGTGAGAAGGGGAAATAGGATAGGCAAGAAAAAAGCTTTGAGGAGGTGACATTTTTTACCTAAATCTTAATGAAGATATAGTGTGAGCCAGGGGAAAGTCTGAGAGAAGGATATTCAAGGGAAAGGAAATAGCAATGCAGAGTCTTCCTTAAATTTAGGGAGGAACAATGGAGTGTATAAGAAATGGTCAGATATGAGATAGATATTAAAAGTGGAGTTGGCAATATTATTGCTGAATTAGATGTGGGGATGAGGGAGGGATAAGAGTCAAAACTGACTAGGTGGGTTGGTTTGAGAACACGGTAGATGAGGAAGATGGGATTTAGCAGGGTGGCCCAAGAGTTCTGTCTTAGATAGAATACACTGGTAAAATTTTTTAACATTTAGGTAATCTGACAAATGGAGATCCTAACAGGGTCTACTAGTTGGTGTTTGAGATAATCATAGAAAGGGCCTAGTAGAGGATCTGATATGGAGCAATGAACAGAAGTGCAAATTGAGCTGTGGGTTGTCTCTGTACAGTCAAGAGACTAGACAAATGATGACAGAGAGGAGGCCAGAACATCAGTAAAAGGGAAACCGGTTTAGGAAGGAGAAGCAAGAGGAGACTGAACACATGGTTTAAATGCTTCACAGTCCTGCATTCAATCCACCCTAGGTGGCACAGAGAAAAATAGAGGACTGTGTATAAGGGGCTACCAGATCAAATGGTCCATTCTATAATAAGATTGTTTTTTCTCTTCTTCTTAAGTTGAGTGACTTACCAGCACTTTAGGGATCATGAAAACATTGTCTTGACTCAGGGTACAGAAATAATGTGTAGTGGCCACCAAATTTAACCTGACTCGATGCTACAGATGCAGCCCAGGGACTGTGCTAACTGTAATCAGGGATAACATTCTTCTCACCAAAAGAGAAATGGTTTCTGTTCTTGTAGGCTTGTAGGATGCAGTAAATCTATACTAAAGACTTTATTTATCAACCAGCCATGCCGACTAACAACGTTAGAAGCAATTGTTTATCATCTCCTTAGATGAATGTCAAAGGCCACTGCCGTAGTCTCTTAGAAAGTTCTGTTAAAATTGACCTATTTCCTATTGTGCCTTTCTTCCGAGTTTGACAATAGCAGAGCACACCAAAACCAAAACTACAGAAATTTCCATTCCTTTCCCTGACTCCCTTCCCATACCCCTGTGCACAACACACTTATCAGAGCCATGCAGCAGCTGTGATGGAAATGAGAACTACAGGAAACTTAGAATTAATCATGCCAAATGGTGACAAATACTCAGGAGAGGGTGATGCTGGTCACTCATGTGACACCACACAGATGGCCCAAGCTACAAACTCTCTCTGACATTCCTGGGTCTGGCCCCTAACTAATCTGCTGAAGAACCTTCTGAGTTTGGGGATGTAGGCACTTTGGCCTTGGTTGGCTGACTGAGGTGCATAAATTTGGAAGATAGAGTTGTATGCACACACTTTAGGATTTCCATTGTCTATATTCAGTCATGCACCACATAAAGACTGTTCAGTCAGCCACGGACCACATATGCGACAACAGCCCCATAAGATTATATATAACGAAGTTGAAAGATTCCTATCACTCAGTGATGTGATCTCATAGCCATCGTAATGTCCTAGCACAACATATTACTCACGTGTTTGTGGTGGTGCCGGTGTAAACAGACCCACTGCAATGCCAGTCATATAGAAGTATAGCATATACAACTGCAGGAGTAGACTATCTAGGTTTGTGTAAGTGCACACTACGATGTTCACACAATGACAAAATTGCCTGATGAAGCATTTCTCAGAACATCTCCCCATTGTTAAAAGGCGCATGACTCTATAGCAGTGGCTCTCAACCTTCCTAATGCCGCGACCCTTTAATACAGTTCCTCATGTTGTGGTGACCCCCAACCATAACATTACTTTCATTGCTACTTCGTAACTGTAATTTTGCTACTGTTATGAATCGTAATGTAAATATCTGATATGCAGGATGTATTTTCATTGTTACAAATTGAACATAATTAAAGCATAGTGATTAATCACAAAAACAATATGTAATTATATACGTGTTTTCCGATGGTCTTAGGCAACCCCTGCGAAAGGGTCGTTTGACCCCCAAAGAGGTCGCGACCCACAGGTTGGTGACCCACAGGTTGAGAACCGCTGCTCTATAGACATATACACAGACACAAATATTTCCTTTTGGGGTAAATGCTAAAATTTTCTCTGTCTCAAATTAACTTTTTGGAGGTGGAGGGGAAGAAAGTAGCAGGCGCGGATAACACCTCCCTAGAGAAGTCGGGGAGCCCGAGACTTAACCAGTCTCCTTTGGGACAGTCACTTGGCTCTCACTATAGACCCCATGAGAAGCTACGATATAGTGGGAGGTAAAATAAATAATGAAGAGAAAAAAAGTAGAATTCGGTTGAACTAATTTACTTGAGAAAAGAAGTTTTGAATATAGTCAATAACAGTTGTGGATTTTCTTCTTGTGTTGCACATCAATTATTATGTCTTTCTTCCTTTCCAGAGTCTAACAGTCAAAAGGAGACAATGTCCATATTGTTCAGCCACCCATCTCCAGCACCTAGGATAGTGCCGGGCACATTCTAATCTGATGTGAACTATTTGTTGAACTAATGAAAATGTTTGTGCATGTAGGCACCGCCTCTGAAAGAGTGTAGTGTTGTACAATTCTAGAGAGGCTAACTTGAGCTATTTCACGAGATGCCAAGGAAACTCAAATTGAACCCAAGGCCATATGCCTGGTTTAACAGCTATTAACTCAGCTGATCTGTCCTGACTGGTAACTATGTCACCATGTGAGCACACGGCACACTGTGCCTGTTCGGCCCTTCGTAATCTTGGACAAATCTGTTCACAAATCACAGAAGCTTTGGAAAACCATCCTGACCCAGGTGATGGGATAAAAATGCTTCCCATAAAATGATAAAGTATTCTGTCACATCTACCTGATAGTGCAGTGTGACCGATTCCTTTGTTAAGGCCAGAATAGTGAGGAGAAAGAAGTGACAAGAAAAATGAGAAAAGAATTCATGATAATGTTCTCACAAATGTGCCTTATGCCATCCACATTAGCCTCCCACATCATTCCTTACTGGAAACTTTTGAACAAGTCAAATGTAGATAGGCTTTTGTTACCTGTGACTATTAAATGAAATTGTCTTTGTTCAAGGCCATAAAATAATCATTTTCTCTTAAATTAACAGCTTGTCATTCATTATCTGTAATGTAAGAAGAACTTGATAGCATGGGTAATCCGAAGCGTAATAGCTTGAAAGCTCTGGAATGGGTAGGTTCCTTCTTCAGCAACCAGCCTAATCACTTTTCCTTAGGACACCAAGACAAGGAGAGGAAAGTTTCTAGGAAGTAGTGAATTGGCCAGCCTTCCAAAGTCACCACAAATAATTTACATGACAATGAACCCCACAAATGAATGGTGAAGGGAGGTGGGGGAGAGTGGTCAGGTGGTTACAGACCACATTCCAAATGGGTTTATCCTGGATTCCTATTCAGCTAAAATGCCTAGTCATAAAATACTTACTTCAGTTTATAATTTACCCTATAGTCACTTGATCAGTTGAGTGATCTTTATCTTAACAGGGCCTATAATCAATGGTATTTATGACTTTCTCATTATCATCATGAGTGAGCAAGGCACAGGGAGATGGAAGACAAAGTCCTTTTTCTCAAGGAAAAACAGCCAAAAAGGAGCACACTATTTGAATTACAGATATTGTGTATGCAACATGAAATGCTAAGTTTAGAAGAGTCGTCAATGTAACCTCTGCTAAAAATGAAAGAAAACACTCCATAATTATTTTGAGAGGGAAGGAGGGAGGGAAAGAAAGCAGGAGGGAGGGAGAAAGAGAGAGAGAAAATGAATATGCATTTGCCATATATCCACTATCCAGGGTTCATCCATGAAACACATATGCCTGGCCATCCGGAGAACAGAGCGGCAGCTGTGAAGGTTGGCTTCTGAGTCACCATCACTGAAGTGGAACTATTTGTACAAGTTCAAAGGCACCAAAGACCTTGGCAATCATCTGCCCTAGTGAATGTCAAGACATAGATGACATCACTGTAAACTGGTAAGGCTGAGGAGGATTTCCTATTGAAATAGGGGAGCTCCGGGGATAAACAAAGCTTTTCCCTTCTTTTAGACAGTGTCTTCATCCAGGAGTGTCTCTGACCCATGGCTCTTGAAGATATATCATCTATCGGATTTAGCAAACTGTGAGCTCTCCAGAGAGAGACGGTGGTTTCTGTAATAATTGTAAGGTGGTAAAACATCTTATAAAAGTGGCAGTTGGCTTTCTTCAGGCAAAGGAGAAAGAGAGACTTCTGTATGGAAACAAACTAAAAAGACTAGGACCCCTTAGCTGCAAAAGTCAAGGCCTTGGGGTACCATGGCAGTAAATCTATAAAAGGCACGGGTCTGGATAGGATAATGTCACACCTACTTAATAGTCCCAGGAAGACATGGTTCATTGTCCCTCATAGAAGCATGAAGCAGCTTTTCCAGGACAGATAAAAAGAAACGAGCTAAATGAAAGCCAGAACTTGAAATCCAAGAAATGATGTAGGATGAAAATATAAAGATACAGAAAAGAGAGTTTTAAAAACTTTTATAGAGTCTTGTTTGAAGGGAAGTTAGAGTAGTCAGCCTTATGTTCGTCACCTGCAAGGGCAAGATCTTGAGCAGAAAAGACATATCCTTTGCTAAAAAACTCGTATTTCTAACAAATATTTGCATGTAGGTCACTGTGCTGGGTACTATTTCCAAAATCACTAGTCTATTCCAGTGGCCGGCAAACTGTGGCTCGCAAGCCACATGCGGCTCTTTGGCCCCTTGAGTGTGGCTCTTCCTAAGCCTTAGGAGTACCTTAATTAAGTTAATAACAATGTACCTACCTATATAGTTTAAGTTTAAAAAATTTGGCTCTCAAAAGAAATTTCAATCGTTGTACTGTTGATATTTGGCTCTGTTGACTAATGAGTTTGCCGACCACTGGTCTATTCCAATGGAAGAAATTTCTTAATATTCTTATGGAAATTTCATTAGGAGGCTGATCCAATCAGTAATAAAAAGATTAAGATTGCAAAGGCAGCGAGATGGGAGGTAAAGGAGAAGGAAGGGGTAGTATTAAGGATCCATACTGTCCTAATTTATCTGGAAATATTACCCTATTCCTTTTTTTACAAATTTATGATTATAACCTTACTCTGTGCTTCAGAGCATCTCTATTGAGCTTGACTTCTCACAGTTTAACCGCATTTCTCCGATGAGGAATCAGACCAAGAATAATTAGTTAAGCTCAAGGTCACGTAATGAATGAGTGGTCAGGTGAGGTCTAGGTCTCCACTCGCCTCCTGGCCAACTCTGACTTGAATTCTCCCCTGTGCACAGGGTCTAAGATGGCTGTGCTCTCGACCAGCTCTGCACCTAGTGTGCCATGTTCCAGGGAAGTGCAGTGTCATTTTGATGAACCTATGAGATGCATTGAAGCTGTTAGGAACAGTTGAGAGATCACAGGCAAGATCACCTGTTTTGGCCACTAACTCTTCAATCCTCAGCACTGTGCTCGGCCCTCCCACCCTTTCCTCCTGCCCCACCTCCCACAGTGCATCTCAAAGAACATCCACACATACAAAAGAGAATCACAGAGCCGTATGAAGAAGGCGCAGGCAAGTCCAAAACTCCAGGCTCTGTAACCGTTTTGAACACGCACTTTTGATAGTCTCTCCAGTTTAATTGGAAGAGTGAGATTTAGAACCAAGCAAAGTCAGGTGAACATAGCACTGGAACTCAAAATGAGTATGGTCCTCCTCTCTATTTCTTCTCTTCCTGTCGGTCACTGTCACCTGGTCTATAGGCAGGCCAGCTCTCATCTCAGCTGGCCAGCTCTACCTGAAGTATATGGAAGTCTGACAAAAAACCCAGGTTAAAGCTTCAAATGCAAGTTTACCTTCCCCCAAACCCTCCCTCGTCCTTTCAAATTGAGACATTTGTTTAAATCCAACCCTTCCTTCCAGTGGATAGAGACACTATGGACTCTTATTGGATTCCAGGAAAGAGACAAGATTGTGGGGACTCATCGATTCTGGAATTTTCTCTCCCACAATTACAGGAGCAGCATCAACATAATTAAAAAATGAATGTGAATGCTATAACAGTATTCACCAAAGAGAAAGAGAACAAGTCCAGATTTAACACCTTAAAGCAGTCCTTTGAACTTAATGGATAGTCTGTAAAAGAATTTTCATAGTATCTCAGAGGTTCATTTGGGACTGACTCAAGAAAATTCCCACCAGCCACCAGCACCCCTTTGCCCACAAAGGTCACCTGCTCCCTGCCACCTCAGGCACCCCTGACATTCGTGCCTCCTGAACAGACAGCCACCCCTTCTGTCTGTCCAGGCAGCAGTCTTAAGGTGACACCCTTAATGGACTTGGTTGTCATTTTATAGATGGAAAAATTAGGACAAAAGACAGCACATAAAGAAACAGAGTTCACAGTTTTCCCCAGAGAGCCAATGGGATTCAACTAGGACAACTATTCTCCCCATATCTCTTCCTCCAAGAGAACCCAACTCCCAATCTCTTCACGTGTAATTACAGGTTCAGTCATGGGATTGGCGAGCCTTTTTTAATTCTTTGCCCAAGGTAGCAATTTTGCAATCCACCGTAGCTGAAGTAAGTATAGACCTAAGCTCGCTCCAGCCTCCTTCTCGCTCCTCCATCCAGCCTCACGTCCCCACTTGGGTGAAAATACTTTGCATATAAACAAACTCCTCTCAAAGACACCTCAACCTTGACATTGCTTTCTCCCTTTTCCAAACTTGCTTCCTTTTAAAACACCTCGCGCTCTGCCATGCTCCCACATGAGGCCCAATTATCAGAATAATAATTAACAGGCCCTCATTATTTCGGATCAAACAATGCCCCCCATAATGAAGCCAAGAATAGCCAATGTGATCCCTTAAAATGGGGCGCGAGTTTCCTTACACCTTGGGGCGTCTAATCCACTGAAACCATTAGGCACCGAGCTGCCCATAACGGCTGGGATAACATTGAGTCAAGGACAGTTAATGGGTGCCAGAGCACAGACCAAAGTGCTCCAAGCATGTCAGTCAAGACTAACCGGAGGCTAAAACATCAAAATGCAGGTTGGAGTTTTGACATTCCTGCAGGCTCTGAACGCCTCGCCAGTAAATTTTTAAAGTCAATATCCCCCTTATGCTCATGAACACTCTTCTGTCTGATGCGTGGGACTAATGTGGATCTGATTGAACTGTGACTAAAGTAGGACTTTAAAGGCAGCTTTGAATGTGTGGGGGGCGGAAAGGTTGTTGTTTTTTTTTCCTGTGTGTGTTTTCTTTCTTTTTTTTTTCTTCTTCCCCAGAAATGACTGTGATAATAATGAAGACCGTGTACACAGATTATCACAGGCTGTGTCTTTCGACTTCAAGGTTATGTGATTAGAAAATTAGAAAAGCGACAAGATTAGAAAAACCGCAGAACATTTTGAAAGAAAGCTTTTTTACAAATTATCTGTGTGCAGGATTTACAGAATCTGATAGATGGATCTTCTAATGTTTGGAAATGGATAAATGCAACAATGCAAATAGGAAGAACTGCTTTGGGGCCTATTCCTGGCAGAAGTTCAAAACCCATATTAAGTATTCTAACGCGCTGAATGCCTGTTACTTATATGTGTTTTTTAAATTGCCATGTACATACATAACACAAAATACGACCATTTTGTAAATAAAAGCTAAAAATAACAATGAGATTGTTGTTTCTCGAGATGCATGACTTTCCCCAGAATTGGAATAAAGCCTTCACCTCACTACCCTTTCTCTCCTCAACACCAGGACATGGATCAGGAAGCCCAGGCAGAACCGGGTATGGGTGGCGGTCACCATCCTGCAGGTGGTAGCTCAAGGGGTGATAGCCATTTTGAAACTCAAGTTACAGCTTCATTCCTGCTTAAATAAGGGGGACAATGACATTTTCCCGTAGCCAAACCCAGGCTGGTCTAAATAAAAACACGATTTAAAAAGCCACTCCTTTTGCTTTGCTTGTCTGATGACACGGGGGTATATTTCTGAAATGTAGAAGCAGGTGGCTTTGTAAGTAAAGGTGGGGGAGAGGCTAACCTGTGTCTGAGGGCCCCTCCTCAGAGTCCTTTCAACACCAAGAAGATGACAAATGATTGTTCTGCTTGGAGAATAGATCCTGAAGCCTCTGAAATGTCCATGACTATACATAAAGGCATAAATGACAGTCATGTCATGATGACCTTTAACCTATGTAATGGAAATCTTTAAGTTAGCATCCTGAAATTCTTAGCATCACTGGCACCTGATTTTGACCTCCCAGATATTTAAATATAAATAGGCCACCGATGCACTCCTGGATCGAACTTGGATCTTCCAGAGCTCTCTGCTGGTGATGTCAGCGAGGTTTGGGTATGAAGGGCATCATAGTTAAAGCACACAAGTTGTCCTTGGTACTTGATGTTTTGATTTTTTAAAATCTATTACTTAGAACATGATCTAAAATTTTGAAGTTATTTTGATATTCAAGTCAATATACTAGTATGTATATTCACACATGTATGCACATATGTACATAGACACCGTGTAGTAGCACTTTAAATGTATCTATCTACCTATCTATCTAAAATAAACTCTCAAATAATGCATCCCACAAGTGTTCTGTCTTTGTGGGGATTCACAGAAGCACCTCCATAAAACTTGGAACTGTGTTTCAATCATTCACTCAACCAATATTAATTAAGCACCTATTATGTCACAAGAATGATTTTAAATGCTTGGGATATATCAGTGAACGAAACAGACTAAGATCCTAGACCTTATGAAGCTTACATTCTCGTGGAGGAGACAGACAACAGAAATAACAAAGCTAATTGCATCATATGCTAGAAGATGGTAAGTGCTCTGGAAAATATACTAGGAGAGAGTAAGAGGAATCAGAGATGCCCAGAGGAGAGGGGGGACAGACAGGCTGTCCTGAGACAGTCACAGGGAGCAAAGCCAGGCAGGATGCATCTAAGTTA